GGGGAGCTGATATGGAGCCCACATAGAGGGACCTCTCAAACTTCTTCCGCTCCGCAGGTGTGTCCCCAGTCTCAGCGCCCCCGAAGATCACCTTGATCTCCAACTTCTTCTTCCCGCCGTTCGGGCCGAGGGACCCCTCCGGACGTTTATCGGCACTTCGATAATCTACGTCTTTTGGTTCGGCCTCGCGCCGATCGTCGCGGCGCCAAGACCGTGATCTCGGATTTGGCTGCCTTGGGCTATTCTTCTTCAGTAGCTGGGTGAACTCGCCCAGGTAGCCTTGCCGGACCAGCTCGTCGATGGCCCTCCTCAGTTGTTTGCAATTGTCGGTGAGGTGGCCGACCCTCTGGTGGTATTCGCAGTATGCGGTCTCATCAAGACCCATAGGCGCCTTCTTGTCTTGGGGCTCCCTTAGGAGGCCCTTGTCTTTGATGGCGTCAAAGACTTGGCCCACGGGGTAGGCTAAGGGAACGTGGTAATCCCCTGGACGCACGGAGCTTGCCTCAGGGTGGGCCTTCCAAGGGATCATGCCGCCGTCCGTCTTTTTCTTCTTGTTTGGGGGGGATGGTCCGCCACCGGGGCCGAGCCTGTCCGCCAATTTCCGGGAAGGGGCCACAGGCGCGCCGTCCCTCAGTCTGATCTCCTCCTCAATGGAGGCATACTTCTGTGCCCGAGCCAGCACCTCGGTGTAGCTGGTGCTGGGGTTCCTCCGAAGGTCCCGATATAGGTCCCCTGTTGCTAAAGCGCTGGTGAACATGTTCACTCCCAGCCGCTCGTCCAGATCATCTACCTGGAGCACTTCGTCTCTCCATCTGACCAGAAATTTGGCCAGGGGTTCGTCCTTGCCCTGCTTCACACTGGTGAGCGATGTGAAGCTCTTCTTGGGGATGGTGCCGGCAGCGAATTGTGCCATGAACTGCTGGGACAGCTGTTCGTAGTTGTCAATAGATCCGGGCCTCAGCTGCCCGAACCACTCCTGCGCCGGGCCCCTCAGGGTGCTGAAGAAGAGCCGGCAGATGGCCTCATCGGATGCTCCCAGCATGGAGAGGTTCCCCTGGAAGCTGATCAAATGAGCCTTGGGATCTCCGGTCCCATTGTATACTATTCCTCCGGGGGGTCTGCAGTCCCGCGGGATCTCTGCATTCATGACCCTCGGAGTAAATGGCGAGGTGAGGGAGAAACGAGGCGTAGCTGGGGTGGCCTCCGCCCGTCTGTCCATCTCGGCTATTCGCCGTTCCATTGCCTCTAGTCGGGCCTCCTGTGCGGCCCTTCCGGGGGACACAGGAGGGGCGGCCTCGAGCGCAATGTTCCTTCTTGGGGCAACCGCGTCGGGTTGCCTTCGGGTAATATGGGCGCCACGCCTTTGGAAACGTCGTCCAATGATACTGGCGGCGGGGGTAATGGCGGTGCCCTGCTGTCCTGAGGGAACATCCGGTGTGCGCCCCCCGATGATCGTCCTGCCAACCATAACGAGGGGTGCTGGCGCTGGTGTGCCCCCCAGCCCCGTGGGAGGACGGATTTTGGCCCAACCTCATGTGGATGGGCGTCCGACGCCCGGCCGACTCTGCTGTCTCATCCAGGGACTGCATGTGGTGGATGGGTGATATGGGCGTCCAGATGGTGTTGGCTGAATACACTTCTTCTTCCGCCTCCTGCTCGTCCGCCATTCGGCGCATTGTTTCCGCCAACTCCCTCATGAGTCGGGGGTCGCGTCTGGCCTCGTGGGGGATGAGGTTGGTGAGGCCACCTTCACCCCCAGTAGTTCCCAACGTCTCGGAGCGTTCCGTGGTTTGCCCGCGGTTGCTTCGCCCGCGGGACAGCTGCTCGGAGAGGTCATGTTGTCGATTGTTCCTTGTCATCTTGCTTGCTGTGGGTAGATTTAGTAGCTGTTTGGGAGAGTTTTGGAAACTTTTAGTTCAGTTTCCCACAGACGGCGCCAGTGTTGAGGTTTATTCCTTCAACCCCCGGGTCCAACACGTAAGCCCAAGGATTTCGAGTGGAGTATGTGTGAGTAAACTAGCCCAACTAACAAATGAGATGAATCAAGAAACAACAAGGTAGCAAGTAAGTGATTAGGTATTATTATCTCTTAATAACTCCCTAATACAATACTTTTCGCTAAGGCTCCGTCGGCCGTTCGTCTTACCAGGCAGTAGAAGTGCTGCGAGTAAGAATACTATAGCTAGAATGCTAAGAATAGAAAGTTGCCAACCCTTTACAATGAAATAAATGCTTCTATTTATACCCACCAATGGGCATGTGGCTACACTGACGTGGAAGCCTGTGGTCCGCTGGTGCCTCAACCACCGAATCTTCAGCATTAAATGCGCTTCCCGCCAGAATCTAGGTTTCCCGCCTAATTAGTGGGGACATTCGTCCGCCCGGGGAGCGAGCTGGATTGCTCCAGGTAGCCCCCAGGGGTACTGGCCGCTCGTCCCCTGGCCTTTGTGGATTCCTGCCATGCGGGCTAGACTGTCTCCGATGGCTATGGGCCTGCTCTGACGACGTTCGTCGTCATTCTGGTGACCCGTGGGCCTGCTCCTTGTCCCTGCATAGACGTTCGTCGAGATGGGCCGCTGAGCCTAACCCCCTACTGCAGACGTTCGTCTCTCCTAAAGGAACATGGGTTTGCTAGGCCAGTTCAGTGATCTGACTGGACGTACGTCTGGTAAAAAAGGGGTGAATGGGCCGGACCCTGACTTGGGCCATTAACCCAACAATATATATTCGAAATTAACATTTAAATATATTAAATTTCTTAACAATACTTTGTAAAATTTCAATAACAAAGTAAAAATCATAATAATCAAACAAAATAGTCAAAACGTTAAACCACAATCAAACACAAACATATTAACTAAGAAGGAGAAAAACACAAAAAAAAAATAATGGATATGAATGAAAGAGTTCATTGAAGCATTTCTACAAACACTTTATAGGCATAAAAGTTAAAAACAAATCCAACTTATAAACATCACAGATCTATACTAATATAACAACATAATAAGCAATCAACATTATAGAAACATGTATTGTATACATAAAATAAAAAAAAGGGAACACATATCATCCAAATTGCACAAAAAATCTGGAATGAATTGAGAAAAAAAAGTGGGTCAAAAATCGGAAAAGAGATAGAAGAACTAGAGGATGATAAGTTGTGTGTAGAAATATGAATTTAGAGGAGGAGAGTTGCAGTCTGACAGAAGAATGAAAAGAAAAAAGAAAGGGAGAAGAAGAGCTTACAGCGAGAAAGAAGAAGAAATATTGAGGAACCAGGGGAAGGGGTAGCGTAAAGGGGAGGGAGCACTTGAAGAGAGATGGGAATGGGTCAAAATGTCAAATGAAAGGCAGTAAAAACTTGACTTTTTAAAGCGTGTATACGGGCGTGTAAAACGTTGTGTACACGACGCATTACTCTGCTGTATTATTGCTTCGGGTGTGGACTTTGAAGCTGTATTTTTTGCATTTCTGTCATAAAAAGTAAAGAAATTGCCATAAATAGGATGTAAAACGATGTCAAATTCTAAAATAGGAATATTATGTTCTTATTCCCCAAATTCTTTTGCTGTCTTATCCTATCACAATTGCTGTATTATTGCTTCGGGTGTGGACTTTGAAGCTGTATTTTTTGCATTTATGTCATAAAAAGTAAAGAAATTGCCATAAATAGGATGTAAAACGATGTCAAATTCTAAAATAGGAATATCATGTTCTTATTCCCTAAATTGGAGTAATTAGGATTTTTTATTGTTTTCAATCTCACACTAGTTTGCATAATTATAGAATACATAGAGACCAGAAATTAACCGGACCAAAAAATTTTAGTCCAAGTAAACATCTTTAGTGTCAATTTGAAAAATGTAGTCCTTGTATGAATTATGATCGATATGTCTCATTTAAATATCTTTATGATTAAATAATTCTTTCATTTATTGGTGACAAAATTAAGTGATATTTGAATAACTAATATCTACAATTTTCTTTACTCGAGGGAGGAATGAAAACTTTTTTGTCAACTAAGGATGTTTTTAATTGTACTCAATTTTCTAGTCTGATCTAAATTGATTTAGTTTGATTTGATAAATGTATGATATCTGTGTATTTTATAATCTTTCGAATTGGGTCTGATTTGATATGGGACTGAAAACATCCTAATTTATGTATTTATGTCTATTTTAGGGGTGAGTATTAGAGATTTAGAGTCAATACTTTTAAAAATTTTACTTCTATATATTATGCTCTCTTTGTTCCACAAACTGGACCAAATTGAATTATATGTATAATAATAAAGTAAAAAAGTGTTTTGAGTGATTAAAAAATTGTGTTCATTAACGCAATAAGTCAATAACGCTTCATTATCCTCATCTGAATCATCTCCATCTTCCTCCTCATGTTCATATTCGTCTTCATCATCGTTAGTGTGTTGGGCTTCATCATCTATGAAAACCAAATCATGATGGAAGAAGCATTATAAAACTAACTGCTCTCCAAAGACTCCAATTTGAACAAGGGGATATCAGAATTTCCCACCCTGGCACAAAGCCACTAGCAAGAGTTTTTGCGTCAGTGAATAAAACAACTATATAACCATTATTTACACAAGGGAAAATATAAGTAAAAAAGAGTTTTTGTGTCAGTGATATTTTTTATATTGGACTTTCATTTTTTTTATTATTTTTAATCTTCAACTATTGTACGAGAGACACTTTTAATTATCGACTTCAAAGTTTCCATCATTTAGTCCCTTGAGTATTAGTATCAAATTGACACTTTCAATCTTTCTACTATTTTTAAAGTGTCACTTTTATGAAAGTTGAAAGATTAAATATGAAAATTTTGAAAACGGGAACCAAAAGTGTCTTTCACGCAATAATCGAAGAATTAAAAGTAAAAAAAATCAAAATTGAGTACTAAAAGTGTTGATAACATAATAGTAGAGGACTAAAAGTGGAAAAAACTCTAAAAAAAATATATTACCTATAAGTCTATACTGGGTACTAAAATCAAAATTGAGTACTAAAAGTGTTGATAACATTATCATTTGGTTCCATTCAATGACAAAGTTGTAGTGCGCTGCTTGCAAAATGCTAAGAACTCTGGCTTTTGTTTCTTCCTATTCGTCGGCAGTTACCACTCCGCCGGCTCTATTCCGACTCCCAGTCTCTTCAACCTTTCGAAGGCTTTCAATATTCAGTCCCTCTCTATCAGGACCAGCTTCCCTGTACTGCACACTAAGTCGCCGTTTTCCCGGCTACAGGCGGACCAATCTCTCACCCATGCCGTTCCGCCGTCCCTTTTATAATGGCTTTAGTGGTGCGTCTTTTACCATCTCTTTCCTGTATATAGCATTGAAAGAAGCTCTAATATTTTACACATAGAGCTTTGCTATATACGTGTATTTAAATTATCTAGCTGACTGCTTCATATTCAACTTTATGTAATAAGCAGTAGAGACTAAGAGAAGTGAGCAAAAGGGAAATAATGAAAGTTAGAAGAGAACTAAGCTGGGGGAAGTAACTCTGGTACTTGATGGATGTTACTCTGGGACATACAATGATAATGTATCTGTACTAGGACTACTAGCTAGCTAACCATTTCATACTGTCAACACTTTCAAAGTAATACCCTTCACTATGATTTCTAATAACTGTTCTTGTGTAACTTTCTTCTATGCAACTGTCGAATTGCTGTATAAACACGGATATAGGAAATCATATCTGAGGGTTGTCTACTCCTAGAGCCATGTAACTAAAAATAATGTAACCCACCATATAACCAGTGCTTCTCTTTAGGGAGAACTACTAGATAAACCATCAGATTGTGAGGCATATGTTTTTCTTCCAACTATGTTTTTGGCTTTGTTGGTGAAACTTTATAAGCTTCTTGTCAGCTTCATTCAATGCTGCAAGCAGTTCTGAACACAAAAGAGAATTACTAGTTCAGCATCTGCTTGTGAAAGAAGATGACCAAAGGCTTTTGCTGGATCTTCAGAAAAGAATTGCGAAAGGTTTGTTTTATTGCATTTCTTTTGGCTGTTCTGTAAATCATTGGTAATAGTTTCATCTGCCCTAGAAAATTTTGAACTGTGCTTCTAAGCTTGGGAATCAAACTCTCCCTACGAGATCCAAGTTTCTCTCTTTGCTTGTCCATGCATGTCTTGCTGATGTACGGTATTTGTTATGCAGGTGAGGATCTTAGCAATCTGGCTGTGGAATATTCCATTTGCCCATCTAAAGAAGAAGGGGGGATGCTTGGTTGGGTGAGAAGGGGGCAAATGGTATGTTGCACAATGCACACATTACTCGTCTATTTTGGGAGCTCCTCTTAAAATATAATTCATGATCATTAAAACTAAAATGCAATGAAGGTCTTGCTTTAGTTTCAGTACCCACTTAGTGTAATGTGAACCCAACTTTACTTGCTGTGCGAATTGAGAATTCCCTAATAAATCTGTGCGAGATTGAGAATTCCAGTCAGCTTTCAGTGATTTTCTCTATATTCCCTTGTCCTGATCTGTTTTTGAACAGTTGGGGCTTCTGTGACAGTCATTTCTAATAAAACCAGTCATGCTTCAGTATCTGGTACTTCAATGTTTCTGTTAATAAACACGGGACCTTAATTTGCAAACCTAAGGATTGCTCAATATGAAAATACAAATACATAAGTTTTTTAGGACTCAATTTTGCTTTGTTTCTAAGCCTTCTGAAAGAATGACCTCTCCTTTTTCCTTACTATGTCAAGCGAGGTTTAGGGATGGTTATATTTTACAATGCAAATAGTTCCATCTTAGTTAGTAGCTCTTGTGACACTTATCTGGTTTTTGGATTTTGCTGGTAAAGTGCTCTAGGATTGGATTGCTTGTCTTTGTCTAGAGGTCAAACAATTGTATTTTGTTCATTCCTATGACTAACTAATGTTTAGCTTTGTTGGAAACTTATTGAGAAAAGAAGCTCAAGTGTTTCAACATGGTCTTTGGAGCATAATCTTAATAAGTATTATTGAGAAGCTTTAATTATTAATGATAATGTTAATGGATATTTAATTTTAATTATCACTATGCAAATTATGGATGTGTTTATGTGCACAAGTATTTTGAATAATAAATTATAAACAATTAAATATTCTATAGTATTATCTTTAATAATTAAATCTTAGCGAACCTATTTAAGATAACGTTCTAAAGACCATTTTGAACATTTGAACTACATTTTTCAATAAATTTCCGACAAACCTGAGAGTGGATAATTTGTTTTAGCTGTTCCTTTATACCAGAAAAAGGCAATTTACACTTTTTAGTGTTTCCATTCATCACATGGATCACATGCTTGCATTACCTGGACCTGCATGCGGAAATCCGTTAATAATTAATAGCTGTTTTCAAATTTTCTGCTTGATTGTCGTGTCATGGTTGCTTCACTTTGAAACTTGAAAATCTATATCTGCAGGTGCCAGAGTTTGAAGAAGCAGCATTTTGTGCACCCATTAACAAGGTTGTCCGTTGCAAAACACAGTTCGGATGGCATTTGCTGCAAGTTCTATCCGAGAGGTTATCATTTGAGAAAACTTGCCTTGAATTGAATCTTGTGCATTAAGTTCTTACCCTTTTAAGTTTTATCATGTCTAGGGAAGAATCTATTCTGGAACATATCCAAGCAGATGAGCTTCACATGAAACTGCAAGATCCCACTTTCATGGAAGATGCTCAATTGATTGATGTTCGAGAACCAGACGAAATGTATTAACTCATTACTCATTATTATTACAGTGTGGTTCACAGAAAAGGTTATAATATTTTCTGTATTTTAGAATGTCAAAAATAACTATTGACTAGAAAAGTTGCGACAAAACAAATATTATATTGACCATGTTTCAGAGTTTGCCTTGGAAGATACTTTTTCCATTGAAAAGTTTCTGGCTAATATGAAATTGATCAAATTTTTCTGTAATGAATCCTAGCAAGCTCTTCACAATTTAACCCCCCCCCCCCCCAATCACCTGCTATATAGAGAAAGTAGAGGAAATTTGAGGTATATTATTCATCATCTTTTTCATATTTCATTCTTTATTTTTAGTAGAGGGGTAAGACTGCGTACATCCGACCCCCCTTTACACCACCGTAGGTGGGAGGCTTTGCGGCACTGGGGTAATGATGATGATGATTATTTTTCTTTGCAAGATCCCAAGCACATCTCTCAGGCTTTCAGGTTCTTCCACTTCGTCAGTTTGGGGAATGGGGACCAGAAATTAAGACCAAGTTTGATCCCCAGAAGGATACATATGTCCTGGTATGTACATCTTTCTTTGTATAGCATATCATTTGGGCCTAGTTTGTTTGTGATTCTTCCATGTAAAATGACCATTTAGCTCTGGTTCTACATTTTTTTGAACTATGAAACACTGGTTTCTAATTTGATTGTGTGCTCATTTATTTTTCTTCCAACATTGTAGTTTAAATAATGTTTGTTCCCTGAATGTTGAACCAACAAAACACTTGTTAAAACCAATATCAATCTTTCATGCAGTGTCACCATGGCATGCGGTCATTGCAAGTTGCCAATTGGTTGCAGACACAGGTAAATGGACTATCATTTTTTGGGTATAATAATTTGAATGACAGAACAGTTTCTTACATTCTTACTCTGTGAAGCCTTGTTTATTTGCAATGCTCCATCTATCACATTTTTGTTTATACTTACTTTCTTGATTTATCCTTTAATAGTTTTAACTATCATTTTAACTCTTCAAGTGGTGGGTCCCATTTTTCTTTTTAAAAAAGGTTAAACCTGTCAAATAGAATAATAGATAACATCTTGCTTATTTTCTTAACACGTGTCCAATCCGTACATGTGTTACAATTTGTGGCAGATGGGGTGATTTAACTCATGAATACTTGAAAAGTTGAAATATTAGTTCAAGCAAGACAATAAAAGTTGCTTAAGGCTTATTCGGGTTTAGGAACATTCATTGAAGCATCGCAAACTGCTCAAGTCCTAGGCCCTAATACCATATATTGTCATGGGATAAAGAAGACATATTCTGCTAAAGGATAGAACTAAAAGAATTGATATATTTGGACCTCTAAAAGATGGCTGTAGGCTTGGCCTATAAAAAAGTTGTCTTTGGTCTCTTTAAAGATCTACATATATGGTTACGTTGAATAAGATCCATTATTAAAACTTTACACTTTCTTATTTTCCATTCGTCCCATAATTATCATCCATTTCTTTTTAAGGATAACAAGATGTGGGTCATGTAAAATTGCCTCTCTCTCTTTTAAACCACACAATAATCATTTTTTTAATATGTGCTCGGTCAAAGTGGGCGTCCATATATTGACAGTTTGGAGTAATTATTAACTAGTAAATGAGATTGTTAAAAGAGAAAGAAAATCATTGTGCTTTTCTGAGTGGTGCAAATGCTTTAAAATACCCATTTTAGATAATACTATACACATTTATTTAATATAAATTGTTTCCCGTCCACGCTTCCATTTCGAGTTCTGTGAACTTTGTACATTCTTGGCCTTCAAGATCTATAAAGCATCTGTGTTTTTTATCCTTGTACTCAAATTTGCTACAGGTGTGTTATTAACTGACTTACCTATATAGCCACGTGGACTACACTGATAGTGTCCCTAAGCTCTTAGTGTATTACATGTACATTCTTCCTGGCGGGTGCTTCAAGTCTCCAACTATCTGTGATGGGTACTTGGATTTTCGCTCTTCAAAAGCCCTTTTGCTGATTTTCATACCACTGGCAAGTAAACAGAATGTAAATTGAAGAGAAATGAACTTGTAGAAACATTATAGTTACCAAGATATAGTCTAAGCCTTCCAAAGTGTTCCAATCCAAATCCTCCAAAACCTAACTCTCAGGCAGTCTAAGAAATTGAGAAACATAATCTGATAAAAGAAGCCAGGCACATGCAAAATAAAATGTCCTAGTTTATGGATATGAATTACAAAGTTGAGTATTAAATAATGATCATAATTTTTTTACAAAGTCTAGTTAAATTTTATCCAAGAGAGTTATTACGTTTTTTTGGAAATCAGAGTGTCCACCAGTCGGAACATCAGTCCAAACATTACAACCTGGTGTAGGAACTATTTTTCATGCCATACCAAGAGCAGCACAACTTGGTGAACGTATAACTTGCCTTTAATTAATACTAACATATGATGTGCTAAGATGTCTTACATCGCGCAACAAATGATCAAATGGAGTCCACCCCAGCTCAGATGGAATAGCTGAAGCTACTTGAAAAGCGTTGTATCACAACCAAACATCTGATTTCAAAACCTCAAATTAATACATGGCTATTTTCAATCATTTTTTCCTTCACTGGAAGTAGGTTTCCTCAAAATCTTTAACCTTTAATGGTTAGTAGAAGTGTCTTCTTCAATTACTGTGTAGAGTACAAGTAGAGTAATTTCTATATATGATGGCTACTTCCTCTTTGAGCGTAGAGCTGCTGAATAATTAGTTATTCAATGCCAACAACTGTGCCCTTTTTTCATATTAATTTAAAGTGTTGGCTAATTTAGACTATTAGTTAGTTCACAACTTCACATTATACGTTTTATGTCCATTGATCTATGGTGGTGGTGCCATCTCATTCATGTTTTGTTTGTGTTCTAACCTGTCAACTTTTATGTTTTCAGGGGTTTAGAAGAGTGTTCAATATTGCGGGTGGAATTCATGAGTATGCTGTGAAGGTTGATCCATCAATCCCGACTTATTGAAGTGTGGCTTTTCTCCCTGTATCAGTTTTTTGACATTGGGTTTAATTTTTGGGATACTAATGAGATTTAGTAATATACTACATATTCATCATACTGTAATATTATAAAATGGCCTTTTGTAATATCATCCCAGTTATTTTTTTCGCTAACAATACCCATAGGTAAGATAAGGAAAAGAATAAAGGTTGTGAACTTGTGATGTTTGTTAAATACCCGTAGGTTTTTTTCTCTCTCACTCAGCTCGCTTCAATCGATTGGATTAGAGATGTGGTTTTACTTGTATGATATTTTACTTCTATTGGAATATTGGATTAGATATGTGGTTTTACTCGTATGATATTTTACTTTCTGTTTTCCCTCATGGTACTTGTCTCATTTTAGAAGTCCAAAAATAGGGACAGATCTAATTTCATGATCAGTTTTAATCTATTTTTCAATTGAATCTAGAATGTAGATTGTAGGCAAATGAATAACATATACTCCATATAAACATAAAAGCTCAGGCGCCATTCATAAAGCTGTGCTGCAATTTGCATGTCCTCTTATTCCGATAATTCTAATTGCTTGAAATTGGATTCAAATGGACAATAGTAATACACTTATACTAAGGCTTTTTTTGGCTGAAAGGCACTGTTGCAAAATTAGCACAAACCTAAATCTGTGCCTGACAAATAGTTTTCTTTTCCGAAGAAAATACTTTCTTGTGACATAAGATGTGTTGTAATGTATAATATTACATTTAACCCACAAGTCCACAACAATGGAAACCCAAAAGAAGCAAGCCAATTCTTCATTTTAAAGTCATTTCTACATAACTGCAAAACTTCACGAAATATTAAGTTCCTCTCTAGCTACTGCCTACCGGCAAGCCTGAAAATTCTTTTCCTTCCTATCAATCACAATCCTTAAATGAGAAACATCACTATTTGCACTTGTAAAGTTAATCTAACTTTTTCCCCTAGGGGAAAATGTGAGAATATCCTAAAAATTAGGGAAAGTTCCCGAAATGGGACTAAAAAAGTTTGAAAATTCCAAAATAGGACTGTCATGTTTTTATTCACAAAATAGGACTAATTACTGCCAAAGTTGGAAAATACTGCCATGTTTGAAGTCTGGTACTGCCAAAACATGACAGTAATTAGTCCTATTTTGGGAATAAAAACATGAAAGTCTTATTTTGGAATTTCCAAACTTTTTTAGTCCTATTTTGGGTAATATCTCTACACAAAATTCACACAAAACTGAATTGAAACGAACCAAGTATATTTTCAAACTAAAAAGAGCATAGCAGCCACATGAGTCGGGTCGGGGGGTCAAACTACTTTCATTCTAAAGAGGCTTCTTTTCTACTCCGTATCTATTTTTAGTTTGTTTTGGTCTTGTGTTTGTCGCGTGTACTTTAAAGTAATGCAGTACCACTAGTTCTTTACAAAGATATTATTTATATACATTGGATATAACGCTTGAATCTTTAACTTCAAGAATGAGACGATCGTTCCCGCATCTTTGCCCGGGCAAAGAGAACTCCAGCCAAGAGGCCTGCCAGAGACAATCCACGTTTTGAATGAAATTTATAGTCTACGGAAGAACATAATGAATTTATTTGATTTAGTATCATCAATGCTGACAGTGATGAGAAAAGGAAGAAGAAACTGACCAAAGAAAATACTACAGGAGTTCTCCACACTCGTGGGGACACTGAAAAGAAGGATGCCAGTGATAGATAAAGGTATCTTGTTTAATGATCCCACTAGGCTGCACAATGCGAGAACCAAAATGTGAAATATACCTTACATACACAAACCAATATGCTAGAGCGGTGTCTGCGTTCTTTCATTTATTTATGTCATACTAACCCTGTCATATATTAAAAAAAACAAAACATGTTCTACTACTGTGTTTCCCTCCAAAAAAAAAACCTCCCATATACCCCCCCACTGGCTCTTTTGCACATCCTAACTTGGTTGGGGATTTAGTTGGATGGCAGGATCAAAGCCTCCATTAGCTAATCAAGGCAGAAGACATAGGCTCCATTGTTTCTATTGAGAAAAGTACTACCTCTGTTTCACCCAAGGAAATACTTAAACAGTAGAAAAAACAAGATTCTTTTTTCATCACGGGGGGGGGGGGGGGGGGGGGGGGCATAACCGTATAACCGTACAGCATTCTTCAACATCAGCATTTAAATCCAAAGTTAATCTGCAAAACTGATCCCTAAAAAGAGGGAGAATAAGATAAGTGCTTTCAAATGTATGCTTCTTACCTGTAAGTTGTAGCACCTGTTTGGTGAAGAAACCACATTGATGTAAAGCTAATTGCTAAGCCCAAAAATCCACTTAAAGTTATCACCAGCCAAAACATAGGCAAATGTAACAGTGGCCTGTCATCAAGATACAAAGAATAGTTCATTGATATAGACATGTTTATTCACTTAGGACTAGAACTATACTCTCAGTTTCACGATAACCGACATTTAAGGGGTTACATACACATATAAAGAATCTGATTATACATCCTTCAATCTTCCAAAAAACAATACTCCATATTATACCTAAACCACCCGTAACTGATAATATGTCCTTCAGTCTTGCAAAAAACAATACTCCATTTTATACCTAAACTACCCAATGTACCCATAATCGATAGACAACCTTCTTGGAAGTTGAAAGTATTAAAAACTACTTATTATGGAGCATTGAGGTGAAGAAGAGCAAAAGGAAAATTAACTATTAAACTACTAATACACTCTCTATTCTATTCCTCCTTTTTTTGTTTCTTAATTCACATTCTACTATATTTTTATGTATGCTTTTATTTATTCATTCAATGTGCTCTTGATTATATAAAACTGAGACATATTGTGAACCGATTTTTTAACCAAAGCGCCAGTTATTGTAAAGCAGAGGGAGTATAGTGCTACAATGCATGAGGTCAATGGACAACTTCTAAGCAGAACTTACGTTCTAGAGAGATAGCCCACCTCATTGAACAACATGACAAGCGCGATGCCTAAGGGCAATGATAGAGTGTTATTTAGCAAGACCATTGAGAATTCATTCAGGTTCCCTGATTTCGTGACTTGTTTGGCAGTATCCATAATCCTACGTAGACTTAGCTGCACCATAACAACCCATTATGACTTTACACTGTTTGCGATAGTATAATATGGTGAGCATAGAAGAAAGAGAAGGCACAACACTCCAAGAGGTCTGGTAAAAACATTCTACAGGTTGTAGTAATAAGGATATTTATGACTTTTCAATAAAAAATTGGGTCAAAATGTTATCAGCATATAAGATAACGAAGTAGCTCTCCAGATGGATACCCAAGCGAAATTGTTGCTACTTTCAAATCCAGATGCAAATAGAATGAAGGCTTTACGGTTTCTAAGAGTAGACAAACACGTGTACCTTTTTTTTGGGATAGGGAACAAATGACAAAAAACTACCAGTACAATGTGCTGGTTAAGATTTGCTACAAAACCACATTGATAAAAGATGGCAACACAGTAAGAGGAAGTGAGTGATATGTGGGTTCCTATGTGTTGACTAATATACACTTACATAAGAGGAAGTGAGTAACTAAGAAGCATGTCTATCTACTTGGTGCTGAAAAAAACATTTTACACTTCAGATATTCATCTCATTTTTTAAAAACGAAAACTGAAAAGTAGCATATCCTTGAGTGCAACTTTTCAATATTCATTTCCAATGAGAAGTATAAAATCTCTCCAACACAAGAATAATAACCTAATATAAGGGCTTAAGAATGAGAAAAAAGAGTACAGAAAAGACTAAAAAGAACCAAAAGTAAAAAACTCACAGAGTATGATGCTGTCAAGAAACAATTAATAATCTGCCATGTATATCCAACGACACTAAAAGAAACATCAGTAATTCCTCCACAGATTGCTGACATTATCTGTGTAACATAAACACACAAACTCAAACTTCATTAATCACAATATGTGCTGACAAATTTAACTTGATGAAAATGTGTGCATCATCTGCTATATGGAAGACAAATGCAGCACTCTGTGAAACTAATGAAGTGAAGCAAAGGTTTAGCATAACCCAACCCTTGGGACCTTGACTACAATATACAATAGCTGACTTATATATGTTTATTAAAAACCATTCCGTGTGAAAATATAACAGGAGGGGAAATTAAAAAATGCAATACTAATGTTAACAAAAGAAGGTTATTCACACCCCACCTCTTAATGTATTAATTTCAACATAATGATTCGTGGACAATTACCAAAATTTATTGCATGCATTGTCATTTATAATGGAATAAAATATCTCCAACAACAGAATTCCAGAACTCCAAAAGTCCAGCAATTACATATGATCTTTTGTGTGGGATGGATGGAGTATGAATTTGTAGTTAACTAATTTTGGACAATTCTTAAATTTTATCCCACCAATTCCAACTGGTTGGGGGTAAGGTGGTTATGATGGATACAACAGTGGGGAAGGATAAAATGGTGTCTTTTGATGCCATGTCAAAAGAATAAGGAATGTGATAGTATATATTACTTGGCACATGTGTGCGAAAAATCACGTTATGAAAATGCCCATAATTCAACATCATTGAAATGCAAAACTCATTATCAACTTCGGCAAACTTGACAGTAAGGTTGGAGATTGATTACAAGGTACCCTCTTCACTGGCTCTCATAGATGAATTAATTTTTTTAGGAAACTAGTGACCAGTTGAACATGCTCATTGTTTAGTAGCTATGTTGAAAATCACATTAAACATTAAACATTAAATTATCACCACCATGATTACATATCCAGATGCAAAAAGATAAAGTGAAATCTGAAATGCAATCAAATGCCGGTGACAACCAAACAAGGTGCTCACTTCTTGATTTTAAAGTTTAAAAGATTCAAACAATACAAATGTGAAGGAATACTAAATTCAAAGCATACCATAAAGAAAAGAGCAGCCCAAACTCTGCTGTCATGGTGTTTGCTAAAAAGATACATTTCACCAACAGCAGTAATCACATTAGTAACATTCTTCAAGACTGTGACCATGGCAACATTAATGTATTTTAGACTGCAGGAAACACAAATACGAGAAGTGTCCTCAAATTGAAAATAATAACAGATTACACATTATGTGTGAAGTTTTAGCACTTTGATGTTTTGTCCTTAATAATACAAAAGTTGCAACACACATAAGTGTCATAACTTCATATTATACCTAAACATACTTGTGATAAGCATCCCAACAAAGATGCAATTAGCAGGTAGCCAGACTCTAATAAGCTTCCATGTCAGTGGTTCAGTGGATGTTATGCCTATAAAGTTCAAAATACAAA